CTAAGGAAAAGATGGTTCCAGTTGAGAAAACCTTGCTTTCGATAAGAGCCAAACAAAGAAGACCTTTTTTTGTTTTGGGGGGGGGGAGTTCAGAAAAGTGGGTTTTGCTTAGAAAAAGCTTGGTGTTCCATCTAGAGCTATCTTCTCCTCCAAGAATACGGTTTCACGGACAGGGTTTCGCCACAACTAAAGTTTGACCTCGAACTTTACCTACTACATGAAATATTCAACATGTTAAATTTGCATGGGATTGTCAAGGACAAAGCCTACATAAACCCTAAACCCGAAGTACAACTTAATGGCTTGAGGGCCTCCTTATGCCACCACTGAATCTTAAACCCTATACACCCTAAACTCCATAAACCCTAAGTCCTAAGCCTCAAAAACACTCAATCCTAAACCCTAAACCCTATACACCCACACGCTAATGTTGCACTGACTAATCACAAGTTTAACAAACATTCTGCGAGCCGAGTTTGTTGAATGCACCCGTTATTCTCGCCAGTTGATATTTTTCCGGACGTTGTTTTTGTTTAAGGGTTTGTGTTTTGGGTTCAGGGCTTACGCAGTAAGGCCTGAGGCCCTGAGGGTCTTGGGCTCCAGGAATCTTAAAGAGCCAGGGCCCGGAGAATCCAGAAATCTAAGCCCGGCCAGTTCCATGTAAAGCCAAATCTTACGAAACGAGGCCTCAAACAAATTTCGTTGATAGGTAGCCCACGGGCCGGTCAGACTGTCTTTAGTAAGTTTGTCTGGTCACCCTCTATAATACACAGTTTTCTTTTCGGATGATCATTTTTTTCAGGGTTCGTACTCTGGGTTAAGGGCTTATGTAGTAAGTCTTGAGGCCCTGAGGCCCCACAAATCTTAAAGGCTGGCAAGCTTCAGGCCTTGAGGTCCTAAGGCTTCAGGCCCTGAGGGCAGTCCCCCCCCCCCCCGGCACCCCCGCAATTTGTTTGGGGGGGTCACCGCGCCATGCGTTTATACAGGGTCAAAATTTGTTGGGGAGGGGGGTGGGGGGCTCTGTTCATTGACCACAGTGCAACATTAAACCCTAAGTCCTAAACCCTCTAAACCCTAAACCCTATAAACCCTAAAGCCCCTAAAGCCCCTAAACCCCAAAAACCCTAAACCCCAAAACCCTAAACCCTATAAACCCTAAACCCCCTAACCCCAAAACCCTAAAACCCCATAAACCCTAAACCCCAAAAAACCCTAAACCCAGGTAAGAAGCGCCCAGCCAACATCCGCGAGTCGGTGAAGGCAGCCTCGTCCCGCAGCAGGGATTAGGGTTCTAAAGGGTTTAGGGTTTAAGGTTCAGGGTTTAGGGTTTAGGGCTCTTTGGATGTTCCCACTTATACTAACAGTCCTTGATCATAGGGATTATGATTATAGTAGGGGGTACTATAACGCCACTAAGGACTGCTAGTCTAAGGGGGAGCATCCCAAGGAAGTGTTCTCAATTGTGGTCCCTTTTGAGTACCCAGACCAGCCAGCCAGACCTCAAAATTTCTGCATCCACCCATGTACCCCTCCCCCCCATGCCAGCTTCATGCTGAGTTGAACCTAAGCAAGTAGCCTTTAAAACCCTAAACTCTAAACCCTAAAACCTTTAAACCCTAACCCCTTCAGCCAGGTGGGGCGGCAAAACAAAAACTATATGAACGGCACTGTAGGAAGGCAGCATAAACACTAAGGCAACGCCGGACCCCAACTTCTGGGCACTCAGAGGGGCTTCGGAGTGGCATTAGGGCTTCGGATTGAAATTTCGGGCTTAGGGTGTTGGGGGCTCTCTTTCCTAAGCCCTAAACCCTAAACCCTAAGCCCTGAACCCTAAACCCCAAACCCTAACCCCCTTGCCCAAGCTTCCCCCCACGATTCCCCACTTTCTGCAGGCGCCCCGCGTTGTAGAGACGCTGTCCATGTCCTCACTCCCAAAATCTAACTCAAGGGAGTCCTACTCGGACCCTAAACCCTAAGCCCTAAACCCGAAACCCTAAACCCTAAGAGGTTCCAGTAATATACTCCAAATGCCCAGAACTTGAGGTCGATCATACCACTACCGAGCCCTTGGTCGCTTGAGTTTAGGGTTTAGGGTTAGGGTTCCTAAACCCTAAACCCTAAACCCTAAACCTTCTGAACTCAAGGGCCTCTTGGGCCTTGGGACACACGCCCCCCCCCCCCCCCCCCCCCCCCCCCCCCCCACGCATAGGCGGTATTTTTCGGGTTAGGGACCCACCTTCAAGACCCGAACCCCCACTGCTTCTGCAAGGGTTTAGGGTTTTGGGTTTAGGGTTTAGGGTTTAGGGTTTAGGGGGTCCGACGGTGTTCTGCTTTTGCATGTGTTTTTTCTTTGTGCGTGCTTTGTTGATACTGGTGGAACTTGAGGTGTGTTCCGGAAACGGGGGTCTCGGGCCTTCTCGTCTTATACTCTCAGACTCAACGAAACAGGCAAATCACGAGTCCTGCTGCCCTAAATCCTAAACCCTATGAACCCTTTTGAACCTGGAAGCTGCTTCATGCCAGGACTGAGACCCTATAAACCCTAAACCCTAAACCCCAAACCCCAAACCCTATAAACCCTAAACCCTAAACCCTAAACCCTAAACCCTAAACCCTAAACCCCGGGTGCAAAATTGCTTCAGAAGGATGCCTTGTGGGGGGTCGTGTTACTGCCGGTGGACGGAGGCGACTCTCAGGTGCAATTGCGTCGGGAGTTAGGGAATCAGGCAGGCGATATGGTTCCTGTAAGAGACCCTATGCTTCAGCATGAAGCCTAGGGCCCTTCGAATGTTGGGGAGGGGTGGAGGCTTAACCCCAAGTGCCCTTCGCCCCTTTTAACCCGAAAGATGAGGGTTTAGGGCTCCGGGTTACCCTAAACCCTAAACCCTAAACCCTAAACCCTAAACCCTAAACCCTCAACCCTGGAGTGGCGACCAAGCAGCCTGGATGCTGAGACTCAACGAGTCGGTCACACTCCTAGAGGGAGTGGGATCCCTAAAGCCCGCAACCTCCCGGCCAGACACTGGGCTTCATAGGTTAAGGGTAAAGAGGGTTTAGGGTTTAGGGTTTAGGGTTTGGGGTTTAGGGTTTAGGGCTTCATAGGTTGAGGGTAAAGAGGGTTTAGGCTGAGGTTTTTGGCGGGGCTTTGCTTTGCTTTTGTGTGCGTGTGTGTTTACGCAGGAAGGTTGGGGTGTTGCAGGATCGAGGGGGTCAGGGTGGGATGTTGCCCCTTTTAAACTAACAGTCCTTATTAGGGATGATGCTGGGGTGGTACTATACTGAGGACACCAGAACTTCGCAACTTTGAAAAAAGGATGTGGTGGTGGTTACCGACCCTGGAGGTTAAAACTCCATAAGGGCCTACCTTGGTAGATTTCTAAGCTATCATACCTCTTTGTGCCATTGTTTGGGTCCCCTACATAGTATTCACTGCCAGACCCGGCATCCCAACTCACACAAACAGGGACCCTGAATCAGTCTAGCCATGCACGACCCAGGGGCTGAACACCCTAGCCCAAGAAAGGTTAACCTTCTAATGGTAATAGGTTTGGTTTATAAAGGTTAACTGCCCAGCCCCTAAGATGAAGTACGTAGGTTTAGGGGTCAGACTTGTGGAAAAACGGAGTGCGGCTGCAATAGACCTGTACGGTGACCACGCTTTGGCTCAAGGCCCACGGAATGTTCGCATGTGTTTTGTGGGAAAAAGGGTTGGATTGCTCCAGGCATGGCTTCGCATGATTTCGCATATCCGCGGCCAGAGTTGGAGCGGACAAAGATGTGATGCCACAACAGCATGGCTGCGTCTGTACAACTGCGCCCAGCTACCGCGTTTGCTTCCATCGTGAAAACACATGACTATATCCCAATTACGCAAGGCGGTGCAGAAAACGACCCTCCGATAATATCCCCACCTGTGTTTGCAAGCCTCTCTCCCGCCTTTAAACCCCAGAAGACCGAGTTGCACAGGCTTGGCTCACATTAAGAGCCCCATAGGGTTTAGGAACCCCTATAAACCCCCAAACCCTGAACCGAAGTGAGCCCCATAGGGTTTAGGGATTAGGAACCCTGAGCACCTAAACCCTAAACCCTAAACCCTCGGGTTCTTCACGGCGGCGTGCCTTGACCAAATGTTCGGCTGCGCCATAGACAGCCTGCAACGGGCAGGCTGTAAGCCGCACGACCGAGCAAAGTCCCAGTTTCCTCGACTTTGGGGGGTTTGGGGTTTGGGGTTTGGGGTTTAGGGTTTAGGGCTAAGGCCCCAAAGGGGGAATAAGGGAAATAAGGGTACTACTGGGCATCTCTCTTGATAGCTTTAGCTGTAGTCCGCATGGACGTCATTTGGGCCTTTCTTGGACAGTACACACGGGCACCCAAGATGAACGTTAAACCCTTCTTTTTGTTTAATCCACACTCTTGCCAGGATGGCCCTTTAAAACCCTCTGAAAAAATATTCCAGAATACAATCCTCTTAAACCCAATAAAGGGGAAAATACAAAATGTCCCAAGGGCCTACCTACTTGTCCTGGGCCCTGCGTCTGGGCCCGCTGCCGTGACATGACCTTTAACCCCCCCACCCCATTAAGGGCAAATATTCATCCCAAGGGCCTCCAAGGACTAAACCCTAAACCCTAAACCCTGAACCCTGAACCCTGAACCCTGGACCCTGAACCCTGAACCCTGAACCCTAAACCCTGAACCCTGAACCCTGAACCCTGAACCCTGAACCCTGAACCCTAAACCCTAAACCCTAGCTACGACTTCAAATCGCACAGGGCCTTCCCGGTCTCCTTAAAGGCGCTTTCCAGCTCCGGGATCTCCTGGAAAGGGTTTAGGGTTTAGGGATTGGGGTTTAGGGTTTAGGGTTTGGTGTTGAGGGTTTAGGTTTAGGGAATAGGGTTTAGTAAACCCTTTTGCCTAAACCAACCCTAAATTGGGGTTTAGGGTTTAGGGTTTCGGGTTTAGGGAAGTTTAGGGTTCAAGGTTGAAGAGTAACCTAGGAATCAATCAGGGCAGTTCCGACACAGTTTCACCAAGTGGCACTGAAGAGATGCTGTGCGACCCGCGTTTCTCGCGCGCCCAGGATATCCGTGCATGCAGAGAAGCAAGAATGTTGCGATCATTTTCGAAAATGGCCCCCGGAGCAGCCGCAGAGCTCCAATCGTTCGCGTGCCACTGGCGGGCTGGACCAATGAGGCGGAGAAGCCCAGCTCAGACGCCACGCTCTGGTATAGCAGCTTGCCAGCATTGACGCCAAAGAAGTGGTCAATGGCGGCGGCTACGTCAAACTGCTGCTGGACCATTGGCTGGTCCTTGCAGGCGCGTTTGCCCGCAATGTCGGCCCGGTGGTATCTATCCCACAAAACCCAGATGCCACAAGCTGCGTCTTCATAAACTCTGCTGCCCTGTTTTGGGTTAAGGGGGCTTTTCAGGGAACCAAAACCGGAACAGAAAAAGGGGAATGAGGGCCTTCTCTGGGTCGGTGCCCTTTTTGGGATAAAGGAACACTAAGAAAGGGCAAAAGGGCCTACTCTCTAGTTTCTGGAGGACAGCGGAGGAACTGCAAGCCAGTATCACATTGTGCGCGGCATGTGCAGTGCTCACTAGTGCGCCCTTTTTTCTAACCCCAAACCCCAAGCCCTGAGCCCTAAGCCCTAAACCCTACAAGCCCGAAGCCGTTCTTAAGGTTTAGGGCTTTTGGGGTTTACGGTTATTATCGTACAGTTATGTAGGGACCATATAAGGGAACACTACTAGCAACGATTCCGACCCCTACTAGGTAGAGGGCTTGCAGGGCTCGCAGCATGTTGGGATCGAGGGCCTGGAGGGATTGAGGGCATGCAGGGAAAACTCCAACTTCACTCAATGACTTGGCAGCATAACCCCAGGTCCCAAAAAACGAGAAATTTTTTGGGGGACCCGCATAGCGGGACGAACCCCTAAATCGGGTTTAGGGTTTAGGGTTTAGGGTATGGGGCTTAGGGCGTAGGGCGCCAGCACCGGTCCTTTGGCCATATGTTGCGGCTCCTTAGATGACCACGCGCTCGGCAAACACCGGAGATATGCTCGCCCTCAGAACCCTAGGTTTAGGGTTCAGGGCAGGGTTGGACACATCTTGCTCTTAAGATGCCTATAGGGATGTAAAACGAGGCAGAATTATTTCTGAACCATGAGCTCCTGCGTAGCGACAGCGGCCCTCCCCACACAAGCCCTGAACCCAATTTTTCGAAAACCCAAACCCTAAACCCTTTCATGTAGGGTTCGGAATAATTACGCATCGTCGAATCCCTTCATGGTCCCTAGATAAAAAGATTACAACAACCCCCAAAACCCGATTCTAATTGCTACTTATTCAGGCCCCTGTCTTCATCCTAAATTAGGGGATAGGATTAGGGGGACCCTTGGGGATATAGACCCTCTGAATAAGGTCCCTTTTTAAGAGAGCCAGAAGAGGGTTCAGAAGGGGTTCCCTTTTAAGGGCTCCCCTTATCCTACCTGGGAAGAAGAGGAGACCCGAGAGCCCAATGGAACGGGGGAGGTGAGGATGCCCAGCGTTGGCTCCTCTAAAGAGTCTTCGGGGTTTAGGGTTTAGGGTTTAGGGTTTAGGGTTCGCCTTGAAAACTCTCGGACAAACATCCCCAAAAAACAGTCCCCAAATCCTAAACCCTCAAGGTCTAGACCCGGGAGTAACCCAGGAATAAAAAGGTACCCGTTCTGGTGTTAAGGGGGTTCTAAGGGGACCGAAAAAGGAAAACAGTGCCTACTCCCGGACCTAGAGGTTTGCCCTGCCTAGAAAACGGCCACCCCGTTCCGATTTCGCTTGGGTTGGTTCAGGGTCCTTCGGCTCCAGCTGCAGGCCTTCCGACTGCCCCTTCCAGAATAGGGTTTGGGGGTTCTTGTAGTATAAGTATAAAGGGACTATAAGGAAAATTTATTCGGAACTATTCCGAACCCTGGATTGCGTTCGTGCGAAACACCTTGCGTCTGCATCTCTCACTGACGTGTTCCTGTCCCTCTGAGCCTCCAATCTCCCAAACAAAAATCAAAGCCTAAACCCTCCTCAACCTCCGAACCCTTCTTTTGCAGCATGTTCGTAGGACTCTACCTCGGACCCCTGAGGTTGTACCCTTGAGTTTGGGTACGTTTGTTAAGATCCTCTAAGAAAACCAAGGGCCGTATTAGGAGTATATTCAGAGAATCTCGTATAGGGGTACATCGTTAGGGGCACGAGTCTTACTCCCATGACACAACCTCAACAACCCTAAGCCCCAAACACCAAACCCGAACTGGCGGCTCACGCCAAGGCTCGCTGCAAAGGGGTACTTGGTGCGCACCTCCTGTAACCCAACTCGCTACCTCCTTAAACCCTAAACCTTAATAAACCCTAAACCTTAAACCCCTAAACCCTAAACCCCTAAACCTCTAAAACTCTAAACCCTAAACCCCTAAACCCCTAAACCCTAAACCCTAAAACCATGAACTCGAGGCGGCTTTGGGGGTTTCAGGCCGCGATGTTGCATGTGTGCAGTGTAGGGTTGAGGGTTGAGGGTTGAGGGTTGAGGCTTGAGGCTTGAGGCTTGAGGCTTGAGGGTTGAGGGTTGAGGGTTGAGGGTTGAGGGTTGAGGGTTTAGGATTTAGGGTTTAAGGTTTAGGGTGTGTATGAAGTGTAGGGCTTACGGTTTACGGCTCCAAGAAGGACTGAAGGGCGCCAACTACACTTGCCTTGGTTTAGGGTTTAGGGTTTAAGAGGGTTTAGGGTGTAGGGTTGGGATTGAGGGTCTGGCCTCTACCTTTCTATTCCATGTCCTGCGGGTCCACGAAACCCTTGGAACGTCCAAGCCCCCAAATCCTCAAGCAAGACACAAGGAACACACAGGCTCGCTGAGGCATCCCCTCTCATGGGATCTTCCTAGCATTCAGGGCGCCAGGAGTGGCTGTGTAGCGGCAAGAAGTCCCTCTAGCAACCAAGACTCAGGACCAACAAACCCCAGAAACCTCAACCCTAAACCCTAAACCCTGAACCCTAAACCCTAAACCCTGACCCTGAACCCTAAAACTTAAACCCTAAACTCTGGGGGCTCCTCATTGCCTTCTGCCGGGTCGTCCCAAAGCGGGTTCGCGAAGAAGCTGCCCTTCGCCAGGTCTGCCTTGCCTGGCGGCGCCGTGTGTGCGAAGCGAGCCATGTAGGGTTTAGGGTTTAGGGTTTAGGGTTTGAGGGTTTAGGGTTTGAGGGTTTAGGGCAGGATGTAAAAGGGTTCAGGGTTTAGGGTTTGAAGGGTTAGGGGTTAGGGTTTAGCATTTAGGGTTCTGAAGGCTTTTTCAGGGCTTAGGGGTCTCATCGAGGGGGGGGCGCGCCGGTGCTAAAATCAGCCGGGCACGCGCCCTGAACAGAAAGAACCCCGCTTACCTCCCCCGCGCCTCGACCTGTGCAGGTTCAGGGCTTAGGGTCTATAAGATTTAAGGTTTAGAGTTTATAGGGTTAATCCCCAAACCCTAAACCCTAAACCCTAAACCCTAAACCCTAAACCCTAAACCCTAAACCCTAGTCGATCCGTGCCAGAGTTTTTTTGCTTTGGGTCCTGGCGCTCCTGGGGGGCCAAATAAACCCTAAAACAGGGTTTATGGTTCATATACCCGAATATGGATTTATAGTAGTATCGGGTTACCCGATACTACTATAAATCCCTATTCGGGTATATGAACCATAAACCCTTTTTTAGGGTTCTATATGACCCCAAGTTTAGGACTCGTGTGGTCCCCTGTCAGAGGGACAGTTACGATCAAACTTGATGGGAATTGGGGGTAGTTTTCTACTAGCAACCTCCGCTAAGCGTCACCGATAGTGCTAGTATCCGCTAAACCCTAAACCCGAAACCCTATAGACCCTCCACAGGCGACAAGCCAGGGTCCCCAAGCCTTTGAACTTCTCGCGGCCATGGCTCCAGCCCACCTCGAGCCAGGCCCAGGCCGGAAAAGTTTGAGAGTTTAGGGTTTAGGGTTTTAGGGGTTTAGGGGGTTAGGGTTTAGGGTTTAGGGTTTAGGGTTTAGGGTTTAGGGTTTAGGGTTTAGGGTTTAGGGTGACGTGAAGACAAGACCACGTAAAGCTCAACTCCCTTGTAGACCTTGTTTAAAGCCCATGTTGAACCATGCGCGGCCGAATCACTAGCAGTGGTAGCGCCTAATGAGGTTCCATTCTTGCCTCCTTAGGATACCATGGAAGCACAAGTGAGCACTTCCTTTGTGTCCCTCTCCTTCCTGCAAAACTGGATGCCGAACTTGAGAAAGTAGGGCTTTTATGCGCGGGCCGCCACAAAGAATAGAACGCAATCACAGAATCCATTGCTTCATGCTGCACACGTCCAACACCCGAACACCAAGATTAAGTTTAACTTACACTGATGTAGACCTCCAATGGCACCTGTATAAAGTAGAATAATACCCCAATTAATGAGGTGATCAGTCTTTCAGGGTCCTTGGGTGCTAGGTCCGGTTGCAAGGGCCCGACGCATTGAACACCAACATGCAGCCAGGAGACGCAGTAGTGAGCGTCGGCCCGCTCATACTTCTCCAGAACGTCCTGCTTGCTCTAAGCACATCCACTTCAACCCTAGACCCTAAACCCCAAACCCTAAAACCTAAGTGGACTGAATTACGTGCCCACATGGGGTTTGGAGCGCCCATGGAAACTTAATTCAAGTTCCTTAACAAGAGAACACTGCTTTTCAGCCTGCCGTAGACTGCAACGAGGCTTCAAAAGGTGATATTCGGCAGGATTCGGCTCCAGTTACAACTCCTGCCGTGCCCTGGGCCGGTGCGGGACGTGGTCTTTTGGCATGTCTAGGTTTGGAGGGCGCTCCGTGCGAGAAATGGTTGAGATTCAGTGTGGTGGCACGGTCCATCGTAAAGGCTGCATCCCCTGCAGCACACTGCGGCAGGGCACGGGACTAGCAACACGAAAAGTGCAGGTAGCAACGGGTTTAGGGTTTAGGGTTTAGGGTTTAGGGCACCTAGAAGCCAAACTTGGCCCCGAATCGCACTCCTCTGTCATCTTTCGGGCTTAGGAACCCTAAACCCTAAACCCGGAACCCTAAACCCTAAACCCCTAAACCCTGAATAGGGCTTGTATACCGACAAGGGGGGGACCTCCCTGTGCGTAGAAATGTTTACAACATCTCGTCCTTCGGCAACTGCGCCAAGCGCCGGGAGAGCGGGAGGAGCTTCTTCCGCAGCTCCTACAAAGAAACATACGGCAAAAGGGTTTTGGGTTTAGGGTTTAGGGGAAGCTACCATGTGCTTCAGAACCCTTGTAATGAAACATGCTCTTCATTATTAAGGGCAACGGCGGGATTATTGTTGATAATTTGTTGGGGGGGGTTTCTGAAGCAAATGGTAGACAAGACGGGCCGAAGGCCAGCTGAAAACCCTGTACGGTCCCTTCTCTCCAAGTTGCCTTGCACCCGAAAATTCGGGTTGAAAACTTAATAAGCTTACCTTCAGAACCCGAAACCTACTTGTTTACAGGTTGCACGAAGTGTCCAAGAAAGGGCGTTTCGATCAGAACCTATGAAACAAGTAGGTTTGGGGTTAAGGTAGGGTTTACTCACACGGCATGTTCTAGACCGACGAGTACTGGGAATAAAGGGGGTGCCCTTTTTGCCTTAAAGGGGCTTCGAAAAGAACATAAACCCCCTCATAAAAATGGCACAAAGCTATGCTAGCTCATCTTAACGTCTACCATCTGGGCCGTTTGTTGCCTTGATTCCGAGTAGAAACCAGCAAGAAAAGCCGAACCGGCATCCCGCATAAAGTCCGGGCTAAAAATCTCTCCTAGACGGAACAAGCGTGAAGCCCTAAACTCTAAACCTTAAACCCCCCCTACAAGGCCCTGCATAGATATTGACACTTACTTGACCAGGATGGGCTGTTAGGCCTTGAAAACCTCCATAATGAACCCTACAAGGGGCCTTTCTAAAGGATTTTAGGATACCCTAAGCCCTAAACCCTAAACCCTAAACCCTCCTGGGATGGATGGCGCAAGCTGTCCTGCAGTCCAGGCACGCCGCGCACCCCACAGATGCCCAGGCCGCCTCTAGGGCGAACTTGAGGCAAGGATGGATTAGGGTTTAGGGTTTTTAGGGTTTAGGGTTTAGGGTTTAGGGTTTCGGGTTTAGGGTTTAGGGTTTAGGGTTTAGGGTGGGCACCCGCATAGCTGTGTTTAGGGTTTAGGGTTGAGGGTTTAGGGTTTAGGGATGGGGATGTTGTCCCATATACTAACAGTCCTGAATAGGGAATACAGTTACCCCATACTATAATCCCTACTAAGGACTGTTAGTATAAGGGTGAACATCCCAAAGGTAAGGAGCTTGACTCAAGAGGAGGAAAAAAACTGGAGGGGCGAGGAGCAGGGGATCCTGTGACCCACATGTTTCAGGTTGTCGTTTGCCACCGCATTGTTTCGGGCTTGGGGCATTCTTGAGATCCTGAACTCGTCAACTCCAAAAAAACTTCTATAAGCACCTACAAGCCCCATTCACCCCTCTACACCCCTACAGACTGCAAGCCACATCAGCCGCATGACGCTCCTAAACCCGACACCCCTCTACACCTCTGTACACCCCTGTACACCCCTCTACACCGCTCTACGCTCCTCTCCTACATCCTATAAACCCTATTTCAAACCCCTATAAGCCCTATAAGCCCCAATAAACCGCTTCTAGACCCTATAAATCCCCTCTAAACCCCTATACCCCCCCCCCCCCCAGGAGACGTAGGGCCTTATGAACCCTAAACCCTACTTCCTAACCCTATAAACCCTAACCCTCCCTCCCTAAACTAGTTCATTATTGGGATAATATTAAAAATTAAAGTTGTTATTCCTTATTGGGTTTAAGTACCCTTAAAAATGTAAAAATGTTACCCAACTATGACAAAGCAAACCCCCCAGGCCAAGGGCCTGGTCCGAAGGCCCGGGCCACTTCCGCCTTATGGTCCTTGCCATCGACCAGAGCCTCTGGCCGACTGGGGGAGTTGTTTTGGGCTCTTGTTTTTGGCTTTAGGTCTAGGGTGGATGGGGTAAGGTGTAGGGTTTAGGGTTTGGGGTTGGGGCCCAGAAAGTCTGTAGCTATTCCTTGGGCTTTCTTCCTAACTGTAGTTGGGTTACGAGCCGACGTTGTACCACTTATTAAATATAAGGCCAGCTGGGAGGCCCGAAACCCTAAACCGAAGAGCACACAAAGACGCAGAGGAGAGATTCTATTCTAGGGCTTTCATTGTGGGCAAAACAGGCACGCACCTGTTGTCTCTAGCTCCCTCAGCCCTGAAATCCACACAGCAGTCCCTGGTGATGAGGGGAGTCGCCTCACAAGGTATGCACCCTTGCGTTGGTTTCAGTCACATGTGGGCAGCCCAGGGACGACCCCAACAAAAGCCCCGAGAAGTGCCTCGAAGTGCTGAGGTCGATAGGAATACTATGGGAAACATGGTGTGCATCCATGCTCTCTTTAGGAACTCCCGCAAGAAAGAGCTACCACAGGCTCTTGTATGTCTGCTGTTCGCTTGCAACGATCACCCCTAAACCCTTGACCCCTTGACCCCAAAATTGAGCACGACCCATGTGAACCCTAAGCCCTGAGGCCTTAGGCCCTAAGCCCCGAAGCCCCTAAACCCCCAAGCCCCCAAGCCTGTAAACCCTAACTAAACCCTAAACCCTAAACCCTAAACCCTAAATCCTAAACCCTACCGCGCACCTGGTAGTCCAAAATGACCAGCTCGTCCATCTTGGGACTCGCCGCAGCCATGGTGGGCCTGGCGGCTCGTGCTCCGCCCACAAGATGGGAGTTAGGGTTTAGGGTTTAGGGTTTAAGGTTTCCGAGATTAGGGGTACCTTCTTGGAGTCCTGGTCAGAAGGGGCTCCGACTATTTGGATCTATATTGGGGGGTCCCCTATTTTCGTGAACCCCCAGATTAGTTAAACTCCTTCCACCCTCCTTGTTGCATCAGCGTTCCAATCACCGAAACGTATAAGCACATATCCATATAAAGATGTACACATACATACATACATACATACATACATACATACATACATACATATATACATATGCATGCATGCATACATATGCATGCATACATATGCATGCATACATATGCATGCATACATGCATACATGTTTTTCTTAAACATATTTACTAGTGGGGATATTTGGCTCGGCCCCATCGTCTTTCAACAACTTCGAAGGGATATTCCTGGGCTCTGAGGACAATTCGACTGGAGCTGCTTAAGGTTACAAACTCCAAAACCCGAAACCCTAAACCCTACACCTCTGGAATCCCCCAAACTCCACACAAACACGCACGGCAAAAGGAGAACAGTTACGTTTTGCTTGCAACAACTCCAAACCCCGAAGCTGAGCCCGCGCCCCCCCCCCCCCCCCCCCCCCCCACCAAACCATCGGGCTTTGTGCATACAAGCATGAGCAAACCTCCCACCTCCTGACCACGGATTCTCCGAAATGGCTTACCCGCTCTGCCCAGCTCTGAGCATGATGTAGAACTCGCGGGCTCGAAAACCCACAGGCGGAATCCACTGCGCACCGCGATTCGGGGAAGCGAAACGAAAATTGGACATGTGGGCTTCCACCCATGCAAGATGGTCTTGGGGGTAAACCCTAAACCCTGGTAGAACGATAAGGTGATATCACTGATATCACGCATCCTCACGCATCATCGTTCACAGCTCCCATGGGCTTCTGATCTGCACAGGCTACTGGCCTTCAGGGCTGTTCGGCTTTGAGAGTGTACTGCCCAGATGATGTCCCTTTTTTTCCCCCTAAGAGCCTAAACATAGGGTTTAGGTTTTCCTCCGCGCTGTCTCTGAGTCTGAGTGAGCGCGAAGGGCATAGGATTTCGTGTTCCCAAGAGACCATTCTGATGAATTTTGCCCTTGCATTACCCTTGCACAGAGGACGGCTGGAAACTGAGCTTCTCCAGTTTTGCGGGCTGAGGGTCTCGAACTAAATGATACATGGTTGCCCTGTTGGATTCTCCACAAGGGCGGTGAGACTGCTGATGACGGCCGAAGGTGGTTTGGACATGTGCCGAAAAAAAGAAGTAGGCCGATCTTCCCCAAGCACAGGTCATGCTTCAGCACACCGCTGATCAAGTTCAGTGCCTTTGCCACAGCCCTAAACCCTAAACCCTAAACCCTAAAGTTCTAAAGGCTCGATGTGCCAATCCCACCAGGCACTTGCTGGCTGCTACATGGGAACACCCCCCCCCTACGTTCAGTGTTTTTAGGGTTTAGAGTTTTAGGGTTTAAAGTTTTAGGGTTTTAGGGTTTAGGGTTTAGGGTTGCACGCCTAGAACTGGGAATGTTCCCCATGATACTAACAGTCCTTAAAAAGGGATTCTAGTACCCCCTCTTGTCATCCCTACTAAGGACTGTTCGTATAAGGGGAACATCCCAACCTAGAACTTACACCAGCAGTTGGAAAGAGAACAACGTTCGCCTCTGGAGCCCAATTGCAAGTCTGCACGAGTCTCCCAAACCCTTGGGTTTAGGGTTTAGGGTTTAGGGTTTAGGGTTTAGGGTTTAGGGTTTAGGGTACAATGCGACACCACGTCCCTGGAGCAGCGCAGCCCTGCCAAACACCCTTAACAAAGCTCACTTTAGAACCTAACCCCTAACCCCTAAACCCTAAGAGCCTTAAACCGGCTCGGACGCCCCAGGGCACTTCGAATGCAGATGACTGTGAAAACCGGCCGGGTGTAAGGACTTTCTTGGGGTTCGGGATGATTCAGGGTTCGGCTCTTCGGTGACTTGGCGCTTTAACTACTATTTGCTTATGAACGGCACAAAAATTGTAGAAACACAGCCCCTACATGTTGCCCTTATGAGGAAAGAACACTCTCAGTTTTTTTTTTTGTTTGTTTGGGGGGGGGTTCTTAAGCAAACTTACTTCAGCTTCCCAATGAGCAGCCAGGATTCAAAAGAACGCTAAACTCACTGCTTTGGTGCGTTCGAAGCTTTGTACAACTCCTGGGCCTTCTCGTACAGAGGCGTTCCCTTCCTTGGTTGCAAAAGCGGACCCTACTTCGGATATTGGACATTCCAAGTCCAAATTTCAGGAGAAGGGTTTAGGGTTTAGGGTCTATAGGGTTTGGGGGCCAGTGTCCCAAATCAGAGCTGCACACACTGTATGTGTGAGCTTGCTGAGGTCGGGAGTTCGGGCAGCCGAGGTCGTCATGTTTGGACCCTAAACCCTAAACCGCTAAACCCGAAGCCCGCCCTAAGGGCAGTGCGTGGACCCTGCTACATACAAGACGAAACTTAAACAGTAGTTGGATGGACGGCGGCATCTTTTGACTGGCTTGTTGAATTGTCTTCACGACTTGAACAGCTGGTCACGAAGTGTTGCAGAGACGCGTGCGAAGATAGGGAGGCGGGGAGGGAGCGAGGGAAAGAAAGGGAGAGAGAGCCAGCGCTGGGATAAAAAGAGAGCAGGCCTTGGTTTAGGGTTTTTTTTAGGGTTTAGGGTTTAGGGTTTAGGGTTTAGGGTTTAGGGTTTAGGGTTTAGGGGCCGTGGACCCTGACTTTGCATGAACCCTCCGTTTTTGGGAATGGCGGCTGCAAAAACACTCTTACATTATGTCTGCTGAGGGCAACCGGCATCCTTTTCTCCCTACAGCTGCTCGAAAGACCCACGGACAGACTGAGAAAAAAAATAAAAGTTTGAATTGGGTGCATCAGCAAACGAACAGGTAGGCCTAGTGGCTTTTCTAGAATACCGCAAAGGGAATATATCGGGGGATGCCTACTAACAGCCAGTAGGTAGACAGACCTAATCTAGGGGTCAGAGTAATCCCTTCCCCCTAATATTAAACGGGGGTCCCCCCCCCCCTCCCCCAATGGAATTCGAAATGCTTTTTTATTATTAGGGGGATGTTTTTATCCAAATGCCATGTTTGGGGTCCAAAGGGTTTAGGGTCTAGGCTGGGGAGAGAGGGAGGGAGCTTTAGGATGTTGGTTGGCTGGCGGGTTTTGGGTGCCCTGAACCCCCAATTCTAAGGCCCCTATAGTACTTAACGGCCTGGCAGGCCCACCGACGCACCCAGTTGGAGTGAAGGGGCTTGACGGCGGCGAAGCCTGATGCGCTTTGCTGAAGCTCAGGCGTCTAGCTCGCAGGAGGTCTCATAAAATACCAAGCCTGAAACTACCTATAAACCCTAAACCCTAAACCCTAAACCCTTAACCCTAGACTACACAAACAAAACCTGACTCCCCCACACCCGGTCGAGCCCCGGTAAGGGGGGGGGGGGGGGGGGGGGGGGGGGGGGACCTTTCGCGAGGGAGGCAGGTTTTTTTTGAGGGTGTTTCAGGCCTTGAAACCTAGTCTCTCGGGCTTTGGAGGGCTTCGGGACATGGGGATTATAATTATAATCGGGCCTCACCGCGCCAAATTTTCTGTGGACTGCCGGTAAACATTACCCTAAACCCGGCGACCTTCAGATTGCACTGGACATGTCTGCGAGCAGATGAAGGCTGGTAGGTGCCTCAAAACCCCGGGATTTGAGACCCCAGGACCTTCCTGGGAGATACCCGTCCCTCTGTAGGAGGGTCCTTGGAGCCTTAAGGTAGTACCTGTTTACGGTATTAAAAAACTATTATCCACGATACAGCAAGCAAAAAAAAGAACTACAGTAGGAACCCTCGGGTAGGGTTACGGTCTATATTAGCCCCTTCGACTGGGCCACACCACCATATGAGAAACCAGATTCCCTCTCAGCATGAGGGTTTAGGGTTTGAGGTATCCATAATTTCAGTGCGCTTTTCAAAGACTTTATGTGCTTGGCATGGTTACCCTTCAACGAAACCAGCTGGGTTCTGCAGCATGCACATGACGCACATCCAGAAGAGCTGCCAGGGCCGACACCCAATCAGCAAAAATCACATTGCTCCCCAACAAAACCTTCCAGAATGCCCCAAGATGTGCTACTTACAATCCTAGTTTAGTGTTGAAGTTTATGGCCGTTTGTTGAGGGGATCTAAGAGCCTGTCGCTCATCAGTTCGTGAACTTGCAAGAAGATGAGCTACCCTCCCAAAAAAGAAGATACGCTGTTATTCCCAACAAGAAAAAAATCAGGGTATTGAGGGCATTTAGAATTTAGTATGTTCCACCCCTAAGCCAACCCGAAACCCCCACACTGAGGGACGCTTCCCTGCCTGAGACGCCGAGCTCTTCCCGCGCGCGCTTGACGGAGGCAGTCCACGAGCGGAAGCCTGGCGGCTCAGCAAGATGTATGGATTTGCGGCCCAAAAAAACCCTAACACTCTACACCCTGAACCCGGGTTTGAGGGTTGATTTGCGGGGATTCTTAGTTGATTCAGGCCTTACAAATTGTCGGACGAAAGGTCCGGGTACCCTTGAAGAGGTGCACTGCAGAACTCCTCAGGATCCTTCCTATCACAGATCACATGTTGGGCACCAAGTCAAAGTCATCGCAGAGCACATGCCGTCCGGTTGCGCACCCAACCCCACACATACTTACACACACAAACTACCAAAATCCCGGCAGACGAAGAAGTACTCCGCCCATTCTCAGCCGACACCCGCATGAGGTGCATCGCAGCGCCACTCGCAGCACAAAGTAATATAGGGGCCTGAATAATTAGAATAGGGTTTCGGGGTCGGGGGGGGGGGGGGGTATAGTATAATCATAAAGGGATTTTAAGGGAAAACTACTACTAACTATTCCGACCCCTCAATTGCCCTGACCCAGCATGTGGTTCTCACACCTT